GACAAGTCACATCCCATCTGTAGGCTTCAGGTTCTCCCTGCATAAAATGAGAGGGTCTAGACTAGGTCACAGAATGTCAGTGCTGGAAGGAGCCTAAACTGCCATGTAGTTGAACCCCTACAACAAAGGAGTCCCCAGCATGACACACCCTCAAAGGATCATCCAGCCCCCTACTGAAAACTACCCAAGGAATGAGACTCCACCAGCTCTCAAGGCATACAGGGACAGGAGTAGTTGTTAGGAAGTTTTTCCTGATAACAAGCCTAAATTTACCTTTTTGCAACTTCCAACCATTGTTCCTGTTTCTGCTCTCTGGGAACTAACAGAACAAATCTAATCCCTAATCCACATGAAAGCCCTTTAAATGCTTGAAGATTGCTAATTATCATGTCCTCTCCTGAATCTTCTCTTTTCCAGGCTAAGCATCCTCAGTTCCTTCAACTGGTCCTCATATGTCATAGATGAGGGATCTTCTCTGAACATATTCCAGCTTATCAAAGTCATTCTTAAATCACAGCATCAGGAACTGAGCATATCACTCCAGATGAGGTCTGATGAGGGCAAAGTACAAAGACCATCATCACTTCCCTATTCCTGGAAGCTCTGCCCCTCATAATGCAGCCCAAGATGGCATTAGCCTAGTTACATTGCTGACTCATATGGAGCTTGAAGACCGTGAAAACCCCAAAATCTCTTTAAGAACAACTGTTAACCCTCCGTGATCCCTCTCTCTCACACTTAGGAAGCTGAATTTTTGTATTCAAGTGCAAGACTTGGCATTTATCTCATTGAATTTCATCTTATTAGATTCAGCTCAATGCTCTAGCTTATCAAGATTCTTTTGGATCTGGACTCTGGCATCTACTACATTAGCTATCCCTTCCTAGTTTCATTAGCATCTGCAAAGTTGATGAAATGTTCCATCTGTGTTTTTATCTAAGTTGTTGATAAAAATGTCAAACAGCACGGTGTTAAGTACAAAGTCCTAGGGCTCTCCACTGGAGACCTCTAGCCATGCTGACATTGGACCATTGACAACTACTTATGGAGTATAGCCATCCAACCAGTTCCAAATCCATCGGATCATATTACTGTCCCATCCATATCTCTCCATCTTCTCAACAAGGTAGTGCGAGATACTTTATCAAAAGCTTTGCTAATGCCTTGGCAAACTATATCCACAGCATTCTACTGGTAGAGCCATCTCATCAGAAAAGGTTTATGTTCTTGATGAAGCCATTCTGGCTCCTTGAATTCCTGCTTCCTTTTCTAGATGATCACCAACCACCCCTTTAAATGATCCCTTTGAGAATTTTCTCAGTAAGAAAAATCAAGTTTGCTAACCTGTTGTGTGTACAGGCTCAACTGGGACCACACTGGCATTTCTCTAATCTTGTGGCATCTCTCCCATTTTTCATGGTTATTCAAATATCCCTGATGGTGGCTCAGAAATCACATCTGCCAAATGTTTTGGAACCCAAAGATGTGAGTCATTTAGGCCTGGTGATGACATGAATTCAGGAGAAACAGTTAGATGTTCTTTTACTGTCTCCTCACTTATCTTGGGTATCAACGCCCTGTTAATCATTTTTATTCTATCATTTACAATATAAAGGCATTCTCCTCTTCAAAGAAAACAGAAATGAATTTAAAATTGAGCAGTGATGTCTTCTCTTTATTCAGCTATCATGCTATCCACTCTGAGTAATGGTCCTTTTCCTTCTTTGATACCTCCCCTTTCTCCCCAAGCCCCCCCCCCAAAAAAAACTTTTTGTCAACCCTGGCTTCCCTCACCAGCCCCAGCTCATTCTGAGCTTTAGCAATCTTGATAGTATTTCTTCAGAATCATTCCATACTCATATTCATTCTCTGTTATCTGGACTTACTTCTATCTTCTGTACATTTTTTTTTTTCGTGAGGCAATTAGGGTTAAGTGACTTGCCCAGAGTCACATAGCCAGTGAGTGTTATGTGTCTGAGGCCGGATTTGAACTCAGGTCCTCCTGACTCCAGGGCCAGTGCTCTATCCACTGAACCACCTAGCTGCCCCATGTATATTTCTTCTTAAAAATCTAAATTATTTGTTGAGTTTTCTGTGCAGACACAATGGTATCTTCAAGCAAATTCCATTTTTCCTCCTCATTAAAACTGTTTCCCTTTATGTCTTCAGAACGTCATTCTCAAGCATCTCCCATTCCTCCTGATCTGACTTGCCCTGACACATTTTAGTCCATGGGATCCTATCTTGCTTTCCTCTGAATACCCTGAAGTCTGTTTTTCCCAAAATCTAGGGTATGTGTCAGACTACGCTCAGATTCCCATGCCTCCTCTATCACAAACTCTCAGATGGGGTGGTCGCTGCTCCCTACATTTCTGTTATTTTCTTCTCTAGCAGCCTTTTCATCCTTATTAGTGAGAATCAGACCCAGAGTAGAATTTCTCCTTGTTAGTTCCTCTAAGATTTAGAGGATGAAATTATCACTAAAGCAAGTTAAGAAGTTATTAGTTGTTTTGCTTTTGGGAAAAGGAGCTCCAGCAGATATCTGAATACTAGTTATAGCCTCCATCATTACTATTTCATGCCTCTGTGCCAAGTTCATTGATCTGTTTCCTAAACTCATCAATTTCCTCTTTTTGTCCAAGTGGTCTGTAGTATATTCCATTGACGAAATAAATTGTTTCTCCCTCCATTGACCTTCACCCAAATATTCTAGATCATGCTTCCCCACTCCAGTTCCTGGATTTCTTCATATGACTACATCTTTTTAATATGTAATGCTACCCAAATCTGAAGTCTTCTCCCTCCCTGATCCTTAATATTTTAGAGCCCCTTTGATTAGATTTACAAGACACCTGGCAAATATATATTCTTACCAGCTTTTGTATGAGATGCATACCCATCTCTGGTCAGGAATCTGCCAACACTATATTGTAAGGTCTGATGCAGAAATCCAAATCCTATTCTTAGACACCAGCTATCCACTTCCCAAATTAATTTTTTTTAATCTTCTGCATCCCTTACCTTCAATGGGTAACAGTGAGGAAAACAACAACCTATGTTCCTATGTCCTTCAATTTCTGGTCCAAGACTTCATAATCATTGGCAATACTTTTAAAATTCCTTCTAAAAGTGTCATTTGTGTCCATGTGAACCCAGAAGTGGGTTATTGTCACCTATTTTGATAAGTCTTAGGAGGTTCTCTGTTGTGTCTTGGATACATGCCCTAGGAATACAACAGAATTCTCTATTATTGTTTTTAGGTCAGAACCATGACTACCCCATCTCTACTTTTCCCAACCCTAGGGACTTTAGAAAGGACCTGAGAAATCATCTGGGATCTCAGGGATCATCTAGTCTCATCCCTGTCATTTTACAGTGAGGTTAATTTGACTTACCCAAGGGCATCAACAATAGGATTTGAACCCTGGTTCTCTGGCACTGGAGCCAAAGCTCTTTCCACCGTACTATGCTTCCATCTTCTCCTTTGGCTTAAAATGAAGGCGTATCTTCCAGTTTCCCATGGCACACTTCACTTTCTCCTCTCTGACCATTCATAATATCAATCAGTAATTATTCCTTTTACTGCTGTCATGGGAGGTGACATGCTACAATAGAAAAAAAAACATAAGACTAGGGTCACAAGAATTGAACCCTGGTATCAACCCTGCCACTAAGTCCTTACTCCTTTTTGGGTGAGTCTCATGCCTTCTCTAGGACTCAGTTTCCTTTTCAGTTAAATTAGAGGTTTGGACTAAATGATCATCATAAATTTGGAGCTATAATGGACCTTAAAGGTCCTTTTAATTTAATCCCCTCCTTTTACAAATGAAGACAATGAGACCCACAGTTATTAAATGATTTTCCCAAAGTCACATGGGGATTAAGTGACAGGGCCAGGATTCAGAGCCAGGTTTTCTGACTCTAAGTCCAGCACTTTGCCTGGTCTGTGAGGTTCCTTCTGGTTCTAACAATAACAAAAAAAATCTATGATTCTCATCCAGGACACTCAAAGCTTGCCCTAAATTGTTCCTTGTCTCCTGAGAACATAGCACTGTGTATTACATACGGTAGGCATATAATAACTGTTTTGGGGGGATTGGATTGGCCCTGTTTCTGCATTTAGGATGGCCATTTCCATGAAGGCTTTAGAACATTTCCTCTGCTACTCTTTTGGCAGGAAATCAGGTTTCTCTTTAAATGGTAACTCCGTAGTTTTACAACTGAAAAATGGAAACACCTTTTAAAAGGCAGCTCTGCTCACATAATTCATAGACCATGAGAACTAGAGGACCTTAGATGTCTTCTAGTCTAATGCTCTCAATTTACTTAGGAAAAAATCTGAGGAGCACAGACGAATATGCCCAAGGACATACAGCTAAAGCTAGCAGCTGCAACTTGAATACAGGTCTCGAATCCAGGTTTAAATATTCTTTCCATCATACCATCCCACTTCCTAGACTGACTGTGAGTTCAGTCTATAGCCAAAGAATGCGGCATCAGGTTGGAGTTCCTGGTGGAGAAATGGAGCTCATAGAATCGGTGTTTCAGAGCTGGATGGAGCCATTGAAACTCTAGTCCAGTTCCCCTTATTTTGCACATGATACTTCATAAGAGGAGATGATTATTCAGGGTAGTCTGAAAAACAATTACCAAAGAACTTCCTCTCATCAAAATTCTGTTGAGGTCTCTACCTTCTACCACCCTTCTTTCCTTCATCCCCACCCCAATCCCCTAATGGCAAATTCCAAAGATTACTATATTTTGTGTGGTAGAGTAGAAAGAGATCCAGAGATCTAAATTTGTGTTCCAGCTCTGACACTTTCTGTGTGACCCCAAGTAAGTTGCTACCCTGGGACTCAGTTATCTCATCTGTAAACTTAAGATGAGGTTCACCCCATACTTCATAGGCTCATCTTAAGGAAAGTTCTCTGGAAACCTTTAAAGTGAACCCAGAAATGAATGTTATTAAAATTCTTCTTACTTTTTTTCTTCCTCTTCAGACTTAGATGACCCAGAAATTGTAATAGCAGTAACCCCGAGAATGAACATCCCACGTAGGAACAGCACGGATACTAATGCCAGCACGTTTATGCAGGATACCTTTTCTTCTTCCCGTAAGGGAACGATTACAAAGGTACCAGACCCCTCATCTAGCTTCCAGGGGCATGATCAGAAGATAAAGAATTTAATTGAGAAGACTCCAAGTGTGAAGCCAGAAACAAGCTCCATGCTGTTGAAGCCTCAGGAAGTTCTTAGCTGCAGGTAAGGAAAAAAAAAATGGGGGCAGGGAACAGGGTTTATCAAGGAAACTTGTGTGGACACTGATAGCCAAGGCTCTGATAAAGTGGCTTTATTGGTCAACTGAAGGCAATGGGCCTAGGTATCTTCTCTTCCCTTGCAAATTACCAAAAGCAAAAACAAAACCCAACAACCTGAGAATGGCCTGACAGATAGGCTGATAGAGGCAATAGATTTATTTTGCTTGGTCCTAAAGAGCAGAACTAGGAGAAATTGGGTGGAAAAATCAGGGAGGATGGTATCACCTCAGTGTAAGAAGTGCCTCCTCGCAATTAAAACCACTCAATAGTGGAATCAGCTGTCTCAGGAGATAGTGAGTTCCCCAGCACTATACCTCTCCAAGTAAGAGGCTAGCTGCTCTCTAGGTATTAAAGAGAGGATTTAAGCTTCAGGTAAGAGGTTAGGTGAGATTACTGCTAAGGTCTCTGTGAATTATAAGGATTCCATGACTGATAAAATCATGTACTGATTCCTTTAAAAGGTGAACAAGCTGATCCTTCCTTACCTTGACTGTCTGATTCACTGAAAGTGGGCCTAGCCTGAAAAGCATCACTTCTAGAGGGATCTCCAATTCATTTGAACAAACATTCTTTGGTGACATGACTACTATATACAGGGAATATTCTAGGCATTGGAAGGGCAAACTCCTGCTTAGCCTGGCTTCAAGTGGAGAAGTTGACAGCTTCCATAGTTCACCAACTCACAGAAAACGGTGATTCTAAAGGACATCTAAGGGACATTTGTGATATAAAACATATGATATATGTCTAGAGGAATGAATTCTTACCAGATTCTAGAATCACTCCAACTAAACTCGGATATTATTGTTGAGTTCTGCTAGGCCTCTAACTAGCTTTTACCAGCTTCTGGCCAAATAGCCTTAAAGCTATGGTTTCTGTAATAAGCACGACGTTCTGATATTCCTACTACTGAGTTTCACTCGGAGAACTCTGGTAGGTGGTATTTGCTCCTGAGATGATCTAATAATTGCAGGTTTTAGCTAGATTAGACATTATCTAATCCATCTAGCCCATGCATATCTAACATAGGGCCTTACGTGGTCTAGTAGCTAGAGTTCCTATTCTGGAATCAGGAAGCCCTGAGTTCAAATCCTGATGTGTGATCACAGGCAAGTCACTTTAACTCCTTGGGCCTCAGATACCTCATCTAAATAAGACGGATGAAAATAACAGTATCTACTTCACAAGGTTTTAGTGAAAATCAAACAAGGTAATTAAAGTCAAGCCCTCTGCATACCTTAAAGTGCTATACAAATGGTAGGTGTTTTTGTTAATCTAGCCCCTTCATTGTAAATATGGAAAAATACGTGGATATGAAAAAATTGAGCCCCAGCCCTCTGACTTCAAACCCAGTGCTCTTTCCACTATAAAACATTGTGGCTCTCAGGGCACAGAAGGCAATCAGCCTCCAGCCTTTGGACATTATGTGGATGGAATTGACTCTTCTAGAGAAAGGTCCTATTGATTGCTTTGGGATTGACTTTAATTTCCTTCTTTATTCTCTTTTACAGGATAGGGAGAACACCATACCAACACAAACGCTTGCTTTTTAATTCAAAACCATGATTTCACATCACCCTAGATACAGTAGTGCTCTTCCCACTCCTTTATGTCTGATCAAGTCCCACTCAGTCTTCCTAGGCCAGAGTCAAAGCAGATCTTCTCCAGAGAGCCTTCTTTGTCCCTGATACTTACTGCAATTAGAATGATGTTGAAAAGTGTGGGGTCAGAAGAAGGCTGATTGGATAGGCAAGATGAGCCACTCCCTGTAGGCTTCTCATTGATCTAAGAGCTCCATTTTACTCATTCACCCACAGCTGATCAGGGTATACAAAATCAATCACAGCAACTAGATTCACCAGAGGTTGGTTTAAAAGCTAGAAAGCCAATTTATTATGGCATGTGGTGGAGGAGCAGAATACATTGTGCCTGCTATCCAGGATACCCCTTCCTGGTACACAATACTCTGAATTTATATTTATTATGGACTCACATGTCCTTCACCAGTACAACGTCATCTCCTTGAGGGCAAGCGCTGACTTTTTGATCTTTGTATCTTTGATGCCTCACTCAGAGCCTGACATTTATGAAGAGTCCTTCATAAATACTTATTGGTTTGAATTGAACTAGTTATCAAAAAATTACTTGGTGAGCTAGGTGTCAGGTCCAAAAGGGGCAACTATTTCTGCCAGCCTGCATTAGAGCTTGGTGGCTTTCTTTGGTTTCAATGAAAAGTAATAGCTGACATTTATAGAGGCTTCAAGGTTTACAAAGCACTTTACATACATTATCTCACTTGATCATCACATCAACCCTGTGAAGGGAAGGTATTATTATATTCTCTGTTTTACAGGTACAGAAACCAAGGTTCACAGATGCCACAAGGTCACAAAGCCATTAAGTGTCAGAGACAGGTTTCAACATTAGGTCTCTTCTGAACTCCACATTCACCATTCTTTCCAGTGTGCCGCATGCTTTCTCTCATTTCAGACAGTGATATTTTCTGAACTGCTTCCCAAACTTGGGAGTTCTCTTTGTTTGGAGGGTGCCCTAACTCCCTTCACTGACTGCCCTCATGGTTTGTACTCATCATTGAGCACTTAATAACTACTGCTTTCTGTTGTTAGCTGTTTTCTGACTCCCTGGGTGTGTCTTTTCCTCAACTCAGCTGACTGTAAGCTTCTGGGGATCAGGAGCTACGTCTTCCATTTTCTTTCAATTCCTTTCTGTACCTAACACAGGACTGATCTGACAGCAAATGTTTGTTGAATGAATGAATGAATGTTCATCCAGTTTAACTCCTTAGGAACCAGCTAGAGAGTCACTGAAGAATGCTTAGTATCCACGGTGTCACTTCAATAGCCCATAAACAAGGGCTGGTTCACCATTTATCACTTTTCTATCCTAGCTCAGCCATATATCACATTATTTAAAATACAAGCAGTCCGAAGTGTTTTGGGGTCACTAACAAAATCAGTCCAGCCAGTCCATCAGAATCTTAGATAGTGATTTTAATCCAGCAGGCATATATTGAAGCCTGTGCCATGGGAAAGGCTTTATGTAACTTTGGGCAAGTCACTTTTGCCCTCAGGGCCTCAGTTTCTTCCTCTGGAAAATGAAGGGGGTTGGACCAGGGGCATTACAGGAGCAGAAAAAGGCAATATGGTTTTCAGTTAAAGGACATACCTTTCTGGAAAGGCCAGACCCTGACTGATGAATGGTGGAGAGTTAGCTGGAAAAAGGTTGGGGGAGGGGAAGAGAAATGGCATGAAATTTGTTCATCTAATACACATTTCCTCTTCCATTGCTTAATGCAGACTTATCCCTATCTGTGGAGGAAACTCATTTACTTGGAGAAGTCTGATAGCTCTTCATTATAAAGCTAGGGGCTGGAAGCTCCAGAGGGAGGGGATGCATAGGGATGGAAGGTGATCTGTCATGGGGGAGTATGAGTCCATGGAACTGATGCTTACTAGCTGTATTCCAGGGTGGTCTTCATATCCCTGACACTGAGTTTCTTCATCTTTAAAATAGGGGTAAATAATATCTCTAGCACCTACCTCACTGAGTTGGTGTGAGTTTTATAATAAGGTCATAAGTGAGTTTGGCTTTGTAATCTTGAAATGTCTAAGTAATTCTTTATTGTCATTATAATGGGAGCAATTATAACCTCCGAGCTTAAGCAAGGCACTTGCTCCTCAGTTTCCTCACTTGTAAAATGAGAGGGTTAGATTCAATGGCCTCTAAGGTCCTCTTTGTGTGTTTCTCTCTCATTGTATGTGTTATTTACATACACACATACATATACATATACACACATGTGTATACCTTGTATGCATATACACACATTTGTTTATATGCATGCATAATGGATGTGTATACATATATATGCATATGAATACACATAAACATATATATAGGAGGGCTGGGGAACTTTAGAGGCATTTAGTCTAACCCTCTCATTTTACAAGTGGGGAAACTGAGGAGCAAGTGACTTGCTTAAGCTCTCACAAATAACAAGTGACAGAGGCTATAATTGCTCCCACTATAATGATGATGATGATAATGATTTTTTAGTATAGTATATATCTACACCAAACCATGGGACACTTGTGTGTATTATGTATGTGTATGATTGAGAGTTGGAAGGGAACCATAAAGCTCTAGTCCTATCTCCCATATTTACAGATGAGTAAACTGAAGCCGAGAAAGGCAAAGTATTGGTCCAAGGTCTCCCAACAGGACTGAACAAAGGCAGCATCCCAGCCCTGGTCTTCAGCCTTTTCACATCTGCCTTGCTGCGATTCAAAGTGTCCTTTTAGCACCTATATATGTGGTAGCATTCATTTTGGTTTTTTAAATGTTTTATTTTTTCCTAATTACATAATTTTTTTTAACATTTGTTGTTTGTTTGTTTTTTTAAGTTTTGAGTTCCAAATTCTATCCCTCCCTCTCTACCCTTCTCCCTCCCTGAGAAGGTAAGCAACCTGATATAGATTATACATACATGATCATGTGTAACATTTCCATATTAGTCATTTTGTGGAGGAAAACTTGAACAAAAAGAAAGAAAGAAAGTGAAAAATTGCATGCTTTGGTCTATATTCAGAAGCCATCAGTCCTTTTTCTGGAGGTGGATAGCATTTGTCATCATGAGTCCTTTGGGATTGTCTTGGACCATTGTATTGCTGAGAAAGCAGTCATTCACAGATGTTCATCACATGATATTTACTGTGTACAATGTTCTCCTGGTTCTGCTCACTTCACCCAACATCAGTTCATGCAAGTCTTTCCAGGTTTTTCTGAAATCATCCTGCTCATCACCTTTTTTTTTTTTTTTCAGTAAGGCAATTGGGGTTAAGGGACTTGCCTAGGGTCACGCAGCTAGCAAGTGTCAAGTGTTTGGTCTGAGGCCGAATTTGAACTCAGGCCCTCCTGATTCCAGGGCCAGTGCTCTATCCACTGTGACTCCTACCTGCCCCCTCATCACTTCTTATAGCAAAATAAAATTACATTCCTCAATTTAGGGACATCCCCTCAATTTCCAATTTTTAGTCACCACAAAAAGAGCTAGGTAACATTCATTTTGAAAGGCTCAAGATTTCTCAGCAGCAAAGTCCATAGTTTTCAAAGGTAACCCAGGGGCAGCTAGGTAGTGCAGTGGATAGAGCACCGGCCCTGAAGTCAGGAGAACCTGAGTTCAAATCTGGCCTCAGACCAAACACTTGACACTTACTAGCTGTGTGACCCTGGGCAAGTTACTTAACCCCCAATTGACAAACAAAAACAAACAAACAAAGGTAACCCAATTTCTTTGGGACATTTCTAATAAAGTATAAGGATACTGAGACAATTTCACCTTCACATTTTCAACCAAAAATCTTTTTTTTTTTTTAATTACTCCTACAGGTACTTGCGCCTCTCTAAGAACAATGTCCAGACCTTGATCAATCTGTGTAAGGATTCAGGAATGGATGTAGACATTCATCCTCACATGAATGAATCTGAAATGAATGCCAACAAGATATTCAGCAGAAAGCATAACACAGCCCTCTAAGTCACTCTTTCTCTTTTGCTAACTTGGGTCCACTTGAAAAAAAGTTGACACTGCCCACTAGCCAATCATGCCCCTAGCCGCTAATTTTTAGGCAGATCTGATATCTAATTTAACAACAGCAGCAACAATCAGCAAACCAAAAGTAGATTATGATATTTGCATATTATAATGCTTTATGTTGTTTCTCAGAGAAGGGCCAATCTGGGAGAATTCATTGCTTGGTTTTCCCAAAATGTTACCCACAACTAATGATAGAAGCTCCACACTCACCTAGATTGGCTTCAAACATGCAGGCTTTTTCATCATAAGTCAATGGCTCGTTTTGCCCCTACCCAGAATTCTCCCTGGGAATATTAGGATCTGGCTCGTGACTCTCAAGGCCCAGTCCCTTGTAAGAAACCAAGGCTACCAAAGCACTAGTATAGGTTTATTAAAAGGCACATGAAGAACAGAGAAAGGGCTAATCTATAATTTCAAAGCAATGAAACCTCTTTCCCTTCATTAAGACCTCGATCTCTCATTGCCTTGGAAATGGTGGTCTTTGTAAATTGTTGTAACCAAAAAAAAAAAAAAAAGGAACCCTCATCATCCCCCACGGACAATCTGGTTATGAGACCCTCTAAAAATAAGCCTGGTCCTCAGACAACAGAAACTCATTTTTCCTTTAAGTCAAAATAATCCATCCTGATATGCAAGTTTTCCGATGCGGATTTCAAAAAGATTTGGGGTATGGAAAATATAAAATCAGAGTTATAGAAAGGGCCTCAAAGGACTAATTCCTTTCATTCACATCATGCTCTACCTTGCCCTAACACCCCCAACCTTACTCTGTGCCTGACAATTTCTGGTGTAAACCAGGCGTCTGCTTGAAAGAGTGGTGAGTCTATCTGCATCTGTTTCTAAAATCCTTGTGTCAGATACATTTGTAGCACTGAGAGTCTGAGCTCTATTAGTTCATTGACTTGGGCCTTCAACACCTAGAAAAACCTTATGTCGGAGAGTCCAGTGAACAAACATCAACTCTATCACTTTCAAACATGTAGGCCATACTATGGTTTTATTAAAGGAAAACTAACAATTATTAGCCATCGTAGAGCACAGAACATGTTAGTTAGAAGGAGCCTTAGAGATTATCCAGACAAAAGCCTCTTCATTTTACACAAGGGGAGATTGAGTGACGGAAAAAGAAAGTTAATTTCTCAACGTCGCACAGCAGATTAACACGATCTTTACTAAAAACCCATGTCTTCTGACTTCGTTAGGGTGTGCCCCACTTCCCACTGTCCTGTACAACTTTTCACCTATGATCCTCTTATATAACTCCTATAATACAAAAGGTAGGAACCAGGCTTGGTCCTTTATTCCTCAAAAATTCTAGGGCCACATTTCTTTTCCTTTCAGAACCAAAGGCACCCCAGTACTATGAGAAGGTAGATATAAAAGTATTTTAAACCACCATAGAACCATTGAACTAGAGAATGCTGGAAATGGAAGGGCCGTATATCTATCTCATCCTACCTCAATCTCCTTATTTGACAGATATTATTATTATTAGTTTCAGTCCATTAAAAGAAACCAGCCATCTGATTAGCTATTGATGCTCAGAACCCAAAAACAATATTTTGTTTTGTTTTTAAAGTCCAATACCCTATCCATTACTGTGTTGAACGATCCGTTACAACTGGTATGAATAAGAGGTTCCTTGTTTGTCTTCAGAGAAATAAACAACATATCATTTAAAATGTCATCTAGCAAACAGCTAGTCCTACAAGGAAATGGCTTTGCCTTTTACAAAGAAAAACAAACACTATAGAAGCACAAATTCAGACTTTTGGACTCCCTAGTCAAGTTCAAACTGTCTTTGCCCTGCCTTCTTTGTACATACATATGGATGTTTCTTTTCTTGTGTTTAAAGCATCTTTACCCATAGAAAGTTCCTCCTCATATCTAAGCTACTTCTTGTTGCATTTTGAGACCATTTCCTCTTACTCTGTAATCCATGGAAGAGAAGAATAGGTTAGCATCTTCCTCATAATTACTTTGGGGGTGGGGATAGGAGTGGGGAGCTTAATAGGTGTCAAATGAGTTCATGAGGGTTAAAGGGCTTTGGAAAGTTAAGGGTAGTATACAAAGTAAAATTCCAATCCTAACAATAAGCAACAATACCATCCCCCTTCACTTTCTCACATTGAAGCTTAATGACTTCAAACTGCATTAACTTTTCCTCTCCACATGCATTTTTAAAATGCAGACATCAAAATGAAACCCAACACTTCTTCACCTCCTCCTTCTCCTGCCTGTCCTCCCCAGTCGCTCCACCCACATAAGGCTAAACGTAAGAGTTCTGGCCAAGGAAAAGTAATATTGCTTCCCACCTCCTGCATATAGCATACTCCAGATAAATAACTATGTCATTTTATGTTCATAGGATTTAGAATTACAAGAGACCTTATATAAAACATAGGGTAGATTTAGAGCTAGAAAACACTGTCCATTTTGCAATTCAACAAGCAATTATTAAGCACTACTATGTGCCAGGCTAGAAACTACTAGGTACTGCGAAGAGAAAGATGAAAATGCAAATAATCTTATGCCCAAAAGGAGCCTATATTCTACCAATGGAAGCAACATGTACGTGGATAAGTATATGAAGGGCGTTGAGATTACAAAAGAGACAAAAGAATTGCAAGATATTATAGATCAAAGTCTCTCATTTTCCAGAGGAGAAAGCTGGGGCCCAGGGAAGTTAAAAACTTCCCCAAGATCACAGAGATTGTAAGGGGCAGAACTGAGGTTTAAATCCAGTTTAAACTCTGATTCCAAAAACCAGTCTTTCCAGTACATGTCATTTCATTTTGTTTTACCAATGGTAACACATAGCTGACATCCTCACCTTGTAGCCCACTAAGAACACCAGGTTCTTCTTGTTGGACTTGTGCTCCATAACCATCCTTCTTGTACAACCCACCAAGGTGAGTCTGCTGAAGTAGGGGTAAGGAGACCAGGAAGTCTTAGTTCCAGAGGACTGTGATGTCACAGAAAGCCTTGTTGGAGCTGTCTTTATGTCTCTCTGATCTAGAGTTTACCTCTGCCCTTTATTCCTCTTACAAAGCAGTAAATGTATTGTTCAGGACAAGTGGCCAAAGACATAATGGTCTTACCTACCACTCCAATTGCCTCCCAATCCTATAGGAGAACAGGGGAAAGTTCTGAGAGTAGTCAGCCATAATAAAGAGACCAAGAACGGAAGGAAGATGGGGGTCTGCAATGCTCCAATTACACGTCCCCCTGATCCTTTTGAATCTAAAACCTTTAATGCAGTTTGAAGTCATTAAGCTTCAATGTGAGAAAGTGAAGGGGGATGGTATTGTTGCTTATTGTTAGGATTGGAATTTTACTTTGTATACTACCCTTAACTTTCCAAAGCCCTTTAACCCTCATGAACTCATTTGACACCTATTAAGCTCCCCACTCCTATCCCCACCCCCAAAGTAATTATGAGGAAGATGCTAACCTATTCTTCTCTTCCATGGATTACAGAGTAAGAGGAAATGGTCTCAAAATGCAACAAGAAGTAGCTTAGATATGAGGAGGAACTTTCTATGGGTAAAGATGCTTTAAACACAAGAAAAGAAACATCCATATGTATAAGTTCAAGACAAACAAGCTTCTACATTTGCCACCCCTCAAGCCCCAAGCCCTGGGAAGAACAAAAGGAAAATAAATTGGCACCATACCAGAGCTAATTTTCCAAAATCCAATTCCACTCACTGGCAAATAGGACTTCAGAGACCAAGAACGGAAGGAAGATGGGGGTCTGCAATGCTCCAATTACACGTCCCCCTGATCCTTTTGAATCTAAAACCTTTAAGTGATCTCAGCCTCCTCAAATTTCTTGGGAGACTTTGTCTGCATCTCACATTTATCTCCATTACATTCTACTTCATATTATGTCTTTTTGTTTATATTTATACCTGTTTATATTTATACCACCCCTAATATTGTACAAATACCTGAGGGTCTTTGTCTTATCAATCTGTGTTATCTCCAGCAAGGAGTACCCGAGCCTCATAAGTCCAGGACACTTAAGAAATATTTGGTGAAGTGAATCAAATCAGATTCACAGGCTCATTGATTTTAAGCCAGAAGAGAACTTAGAGGTCATCAACTCCTAATTTTATATTGATGAAGAAACTGGCCCCCAAATAGGTGAATTGACTCACCCCAAATCACACAGGTAGTTCAAGTAAAATCAAGTCAACAAACATCTATTAAGGACCAATATGTCCCAGGCACTGTGATAAATATAATCTATTAGTGGCAGAATTTATAAAATGTAAGCTCCTTGGGGGCAAGCTTTTTAATTTTGACTTGGATCTCTACCACCTGGCACATTGTAATGCATACACTAGGCTCTTAATAAATACATGTTGAATGAATGAATTAAATGTACTAGAATTCAAACCCAGGTCCTCTTCACTAAAAGTCCAGCACTCTTTCCAAGAATCTGGGTATAGTGGCACTAGTACTGGATTTGGCTTCAGGAGACCTGGGTTGAAATCCCAACTCTCTTGCTTATTATTTCCATGGGGAAGCCAATGACCTCCCTGACCTTCAGTTTTCTCATCTGTAAAACGGGGGAGTTGGAACTATAGCTTCATGTAACTATGTTCCTATAAATTGAGTTGAGATAGTTTAAACTGAGGGGGAAAATATCTTTTCTACATTACATCTTATCTTTCACTATGATTCCCTGAGTTCTGACCTGACCTCTCACTCTTTTCTCTAGCCAGGCCAGCTCCTAACCTAGGAAAACAATTCTACCTTTTCCCCTCAGCTTTCTTCCATAATAAATCAGTTCCTGAAATCGACCACCAGGTGGGGCTCAGTTACAGCAGAAAATTCATCATGCTTTCTAGATCCCAGGAAAAGTTATCTTCACTACACGTGTTGACATTGTTCCTATTCATCACACACACACACACGCATGCATGCATGCA